CATTCACCTCTCCCATGCAAACGTGATCCGCCATCGTTCTCAGCAGCCCTTTGATAACCTCCTCAAGAGTGATATCATCCACGGTCACCATATCTTCTAGCCTCTTTGCTGGTGATTGTTCCATTGCGCTTGTTCTTCTACCAGTCCAGAGCCAACCAGGCTCTGATACCACTGTAAAGAAACCTCAGATCTGGGCGTCTTACATCTAGGGTTCTACAAACAGGATCGATAGGAAATTGGGGATTAGGGATGGATTTAGGATAGATATGAGGAAAGAGAGGGAAATTTGGGAAAGAAGGGAGGAGAGGGTCGGCGGCCATGGGTGGTCGACGATGATGATGGAGACGAGAGAGAGAGAGCAAGCTCGGCCGAGAATTAGAGTTTTGGGAAATTCTATTATGTATTTGCTTGATGAGAAAATACATGTTAATTACAAAACATATAGTCCAAATAATTCCCACTAACTACCCAGAATAATACATTCTAACATAAATAATCAAATAAACCCAAATATGCCCAAAAACCCACAAAATAATCTCCAAAATCACTAACATAAATAAAACAAAAAAATCCAAATACCGAAATCACAAAAAAAAAAATAGTTTTCTATCCTAAAGTCCCCCATGAAAAATAACGGAAGAACAAAAGACGAAAGCAAATATAGAATTTCATTTTATTGAAATTATTGAATTCCTTCATCACAATTCAGATGCATGAACATCACTACAAAGAAGCCAAGGGAAACTTCACTCGACTACACAATGAAGGGATAAATAGAAAGAACTGTAAAAGCAATAGAATCATTTTGTGCTACGGCTAACCCAACACCTCGATTGATACAACATTATGGAGGCAAGACTTCTTATACCCTAGACTCGATAACTTTTCCTTAACAAAGTCGTCATCACGCTTAATTTGTTTCACTAAGAAATAAAAGACACGAGAGAAACGTAAAATGACTCCACCAAGATTCGGAATGGTCAAGGTAGAACCCAACCCTCGACAATTCCAGGACAGAAAACTCATAAATGGGATTGGGACCAGTTGGGGTTAGTTTCCTCCACTCTAATGTTACCACTAACAAAACCTCCAAACCCTGAATCATATATCTTAGCATGTTTAGAGGATGGATTCCGATTACTTTTCATTGCCTCACCATCCATACCCGCCATCATCTCCATGGCCAACTGAGTCTGAGAGCAAACCTGCTCTATTCCTGGCCGATTAATGTCCCAATGTCACATCCAGAGTCGATGATTATTAATTCAACTATAGACCATTGGTAATCAATACTTGATGACTTTTCCTTAACTGAACTTCAATCAATTTACTTACTACTTTGTTAATTCATAATTGTTTGTTGCATTCATCATGAACCTAAAGTGCTAGATAATAAACTTAGTATGAGTAATAGTACATCTAGGGACCCGAGTATTCGATATTAAAATATGCGCCACTATATTGCAGTTCCTTCCATTCGTTATACTTGGTCTTTGTTAGGAATATTAGTCAGTAGCGACCGGCGTTCATCTTAATTCAGGACATGTTGTGGCAAAACTAGCTTGATTAGAGATCACACAAGATGCTTCTTGACAACATTCGCTTTGAACTTGGGTGCTTGATGCATGACCCACACAGAATTTAGGGATGTTGTTGAGGGACTTCAACTGGTTTGAACATGAGATTTTATCTTGTCAAAATCGAGTTTGACTTTAGGTGTGCCATTCAAATCCTTCATAACAAGAATCATTATGATCATCAGCATGATGTCATCATTCAAATATTCGAAGCCTTACTTATTCTAGACTCTGGAGTAGAAGGTGTCGATTTCTCATTTATATTGCAAGAGCAATAGGTGTGTAGATTACCTTGTAAGAATTAAATCTAACATAGATAATTTTCCCAAAAATTCATCTTGTTGCATTATCAAAGGTTGATAGAGTTACCTGAATTTCATATGTAGATGCGGAATATTGGACGATCTATAACTGGACGATGCCTCATAGTGCACGACCCATGATGTTCTGTAGTCTTCCTCAACCAAGCCTCCTCAGTTCCTCTTACGGGATTATCTCTCATCTTTTTTATGGGGAGAAGATGGAACTATGTATGGTATTGGTGTATTGGGAATCACAGATCACAACCTCAATCTCCTTACAGACTAATTCATCTTGGGCTCCCATAACACCCAATGTGAATAGTATGTGGGTTTCCACTCATTGAGTCCATATTGGATTTTATTAGTATTGGGCTCATTATTTGGATCACTTATAATTACCCATAACCAAATAGCTAACATATAATTGTATATATAAAATATGTGGTCCACAATTATTATTAGGAATAAAATTTTGGCAAAATTCACTTTCATAGCCATAACTTTGCACTTTGTGACAAATATAGCCAGATTCTTATAAATACACGGAAATAGCCAAAAATTTGAAAATGCGTTGACAATTATAGCCATTTTTGTTATTAAATGTGACGTCGTTAGGGATGCCATTAGTTACATGTTCGCGTCGCATAGGTGGCCGAATTATGGACTCCACATCGACGCCAACTGGACTAGATTTGCCACCGCCGCGCCACGTCATCCTGGGGAGAGAGAACCGATTAATTGCCAAGCGACTTCTCCTCCATCTAATTTTCGATTTCATCTTCCTCCCTGAAAAAGCCTGGTCTAAAACAGCTTCTGCCTCAAAATCGGGAGCTACATTTCCAACAAGAGGAAGCTCACTCTGTAAACAGAACGCGCAACATACAAATAGAAGAGCAATTAACCAGCTGAAATTACAGCAAAATTCGATATGGGAATATGGAAAGGAACCCCAATTAATTTAACAGACGAAAGAAATTGATTAGGAGGGGGTGAGAGAATCATATAGTGGCTTTGACGATGAAGCTCTTCCTGAGGGCGAGGTTAGCGGAGGAGCGAGCATTGGCGAAGGCGGAGGATTGGAAGAGGGGCTTGCGGAGGCCGAAAAAGGAGTTGGGAAGAGGGGCTAGGGTTTTGGAAGGTTTAGATAAGGGAGAGGCCATGGATTTGGTGGCCGGGATGGAGGAGATAAGAGCGGTGGTGGTAGCTGAGCACGCCATGGTGTTTTGCCGGCGGGAGGTTCCCACCAAAACGGATTAGGGTTCGAGCTTCTTTCTTCTGGGTTTTTTGCCGAAATCGATAGTTTCGACCTTCGTCGAGAAAGATCGATACAGTCGACTCTTCATCTTCACCGTCGACGACTGGAAGCGACGTCCCAGCTTGCTATTAATCTGCAGGATGGTGAATGGCCACCTCTGTGTTCGTCAATTGAGATGGGTACGGAGGGAAGTTCGAGGACCAGATGATAGAGGCGAGAGGCGAAAGGATCCGTCGACGGAGGCGAGATGACCGGATGATTGTGTTGGTCAATTCACAGTCACCAGCGAAGAGAATCGAGGTGAGAGTGGGGATTTAGGGTTTCTGCTGGGTCTTCTGCGAAGAGGAATGAAGAAGAACGAATGGGGCGGAGAGTGAATATGAAAAGGTAAAAATTTGGTAAAGTAGGGTAATTTTAAATTAATGAAAATAATTAATTCCATTTTCCACCGTGCCATACACGTAGACCAAATTAAACGCGGCCATTTGCGACTGTTTGTCCAGTCAGCAGACGTTATGTTTTCAGTTATATTAATGGACGGAATGGCTATTTCTGTGTATTTCTCAGAATCTGGCTATATTTGTCACAAAGTGCAAAGTTATGGCTATGAAAGTGAATTTTGTCTAAAATTTTCTAACATACCTTGCAGACTATGGCCACAACTTGCCTTCGGGCTTTTCACTGTCTTTCGAACTCTAATCCTGTTTTATACCATTTGCTATTGAATGACTGTCAAGCATAGTTAGTTAAATATGGTATGAGTAAGTTATGTATAAAATAAGTAAGGAAATCTTATTTCATTGTAAATTGATGGTACATTTAGTAGTGTGTCAATATCATAAAATATATGAAATTAATTATTTAAATATATATATATATATAATGTTCAAATTATCATTTTTATTCATTAAACACGAATATTAAACGTGTTAAACGAGTTTTATACGTGTTTAGTGTGTGAGCAATCAAATAATTGGGGAAAAGTTAAACAATTTGATAATAATATAGAAACGTAGGTTTAAAAGGCATAAAATAAATAAGTTAATATATACATGTATAAAATAGAGTATTTTAACAACTATAATGTCAAGGACTCAAGAGCTCTTAGAGTTCCATTTATTAAAAAGAATCCTTAACAATGGCGCCGATTCATATGAGTAAGTTTATATAGAAACAACATTATTGTTATATTTTATTTCTACTTTGGTATTATTTTTGTTTGATTTTTTTTTGGAAAAATCAATTTTGACAATAAGGAGGACAGTTAGTTTATAGGGAAATTGGAAAACTTATGGTAAAACATTTATCACTTTCCAAAAGACCCAATGATAAATATGGTATTGCCAGATTTTCGGTCCGTTCCTCCTCCTATATAAACAAAGAACAGGATGTCCTTTGAATCACATAAATTACCGTTTCAAATCTCATAGAGAAGAAAAGAGTTCATACGTTCATCTAGTGACAATCCACATCCAAATATAATGGAGAAGGCTTATTTCAAGGTGTTGTTCTGCATTGCGCTCTTAACTTTCGTCGTTTTTTGTAAGTATATTTTTGTTGGTGTGTATGATTGCACATAAATTTACAAATTGTAATATTGTTTTTCATTAATAAAATGAATAGATTATTTTTTTAGCTAACGAGTTTCATTATCATTGAACAAATTGGATATTACAGGTGGGAACAAGAATCGTATTGGAGCAGAAGGTAGATACCTAAGCAAACCGTGCCAAAGTCAAGATGATTGTACTTCGTGGGGCCCTCAATGCCACTGTGAAAGTATTCTCACAGTTAGTATACTAATACGACTATACTACGAGGGCATTCTTAGTAATGCTTCGAAATCTCTTACAAGTTGCAAGAGGGTCAGACCTAATACAGCCAGGTTACTACCAAGAACCACAAGTTTCGTGCAGCCTGCCTCCAATCATGCATGGTCCACAGAGTTCTCATACCCTTGTGCAAAAAGGATATTGGTTGCAGCATGTTTATAGATTCAAGTAACAGCCACACGTAAGTCCTAGTAACAGGATTCAGATATTGAGATGTAAAGCTAACTCGTCCTAAGTTGCTTGAAAATGGTATGTCATTTCTAGTCTCTTCCTCTCGATTCTATTTTTGGTTTCAATAATGGCAGGCATGTTATATTAATGAAAACATAAGAAAGCAAGGAGGGGGCAATCCAAGGGAATGTCTGTTCAGACTTCAGAAACACAGAGGAATGATCATTGACCACCCAACTAAGGGCAGAGAACAAACAGAATATAGAAAAAGCAGCACAAAAGATAGCAAGACAAGAGCAACTTGGCAACCCACGGACTATACTTAAAAAGGTAATCGGAGGAAGTTTTGCTTACAGCACTGATGAATGGTTCGTAAGCTTCTTCCACCAGGTAAGCCAGAGTCGTTCCACTGTCGACAAAGGTTCCACGACCAGTTGAGGTCATAAAGACTGCTGGATCCACAGGCAACAGCTCTCCATTCACAGCAATGCTTTGTAGATATAGATTGTAGTGAGGCCTGCAAATTTATAGAAAGGAAGTTGTGTCAGTGTTTGAATTTCCCAGGCCATTGAACAACAGTAACTTGGCAGTAAGACAATAAATGACAGAAATTCGCATGAAATTGATTCAATTAAATAGGGAAGAGAAGAACTCACTGTGCTGGGACAAGGGGAGTGTAGACCATACCCGGCTCTGATATCTCTCCCAGAACAAAAGTACCACCCCCAAGGCCCTCTCCTTTCAAGCAATGGGAGAACACTGGCGGTATTACACCTCCGGAGGCTAATTGAGAGATGGCTGAGGATGGTCCTTGGCCAAGTCCAAAAATTCCATCAACAGCGAGGGCCGAGTCAACTGACGGACCAGAATGGTACGTGCTAACTCTGTCCAACACCATTAATCGAATAAGCTTCCACAGAAATAAAATAAGAAGCAAGAGTGCAAGAGAACTGTTTGACTGAAGATTTCAAAATTGTTTATAAATATTCATTCAATTTAGTCTAAATGGGGGTTCGATGGGAATAGAGTTTCAGAACCAAAGGGTGCATGTATTTATTTGGACTAGATTTGCAAGTGGCAATAAGTGGATTATAAGTGTTGCTTTTGTTCTATATATGCTCATCAAGTCAGAGTTATCTCTATCTAATATGTACTCGCATTTTTATATTATCTTAAATTGAACTGTAAGTCTAATATAACTATCATTATAAGTCTCCATGTTTCAAGCAATCCCACATTATCTGTAATGTATCCATTTTCTATTTTCTAACAGCTTACCCAAATGTGATAGCTGCTGAGGAGGTGGCTACGGTGGAGTCAGGCCGAATGAAATCCAAACCCATCCTATCTACCACATAAACTCCATAGGTCACACCACCATCTTCATAAAAATATGGGTGAATAGGGATTCCACGCATACATTGTAGAAAGTTAAGCCGCTAATTGTTGGCAGCAAAGCTTTTCGACTTGAGCATCTCGACCTTTACACAGCAAGCAAAAGTAATCTATTGACGTGTAATGAAGAGGGAAAGATTTCCCAGCAAGCAAAAGTCATTCAGTAACTTGGATTGAAGAGATTGATCATGTATTTACCTTGAACAAAGAAAAGCACATTTGAAGTTTGTGTTGGAAAAGAGGAGCAACAGCTTCATCATTTAAAATCCAAGCAACATACAAATCTCTGAAGATTACAAGTTCTAGTTTATGCCTAAACAGAAAACTTTAGGGTTGGGGGCGAGGAGGGTCTGGCTTTGGGATTGTTGAACATCTCTTGGCATTCATCTCTAGAGTTTCCAAAAACAAAAATTCAATTTGATCCAAAGCCATGAGCAGAACAACAAGCCTAAGAACCACTTACCCCCAAACCGCTCGACCGTGGGCAGTTAGAACAAGATTTGGCGTTGACCCAGAGCAGATCACTGCCCGTATCTATCTGCAAGCTGAACTCCTGAGGAGGAGAGCCCAGCTTGACTTTCGTGAAGTAAATCCTGCACAAAATAACCCAGATTATGCGGAAACCAGTGAATCCATGTATATAATGAACTATTATGAACAGTAAGAGAGGTAACCATGGAAAAATGATTGCAAGTAGGAAACCCAGAGCCTAGATTTAACAATTACAGCCATTGATGCCCGAATCGGAGAATTTGATATATATATTCCTACAAGTTTACTTTTTGTGTGGTTGAAAGTTTATTTTTACTTGAGATACAGTAACCAAAGAGAAAGTTCATAAACAAAAACGACGCCGCCTTTGTTCCAAACTTTTGCCGCTAAACTAAAACCATGCCCGTCCTTTGAATGAAGAGAAGGAGCAGAAACTAGAAGAAGCTCACCCGTAAAGTTCGGTATCGGCAGAGCCGTACACAGAGAAGTTGGCGACGCCATCAAAGAGACGGGCGTGCCTGGCTCGATCCTGAGCTCGGAGTTGCCTCAGGGCAGCTGAGGAGTTGAGAGGAAGGGGTGTCCTCTCCAAATGGAGAACACTAGTACTGCAGTTCACAGCGGCGAGTACTATAGCCGCCGTGATCAGAAAACCCAAAAAGGAAGAGCTGTGAACCCTCATTTTGTAAGTTAAAAATAACTGGGGAGGCAGAGAGAACAGTGTAAACTGAGGAGGAGGGAACCGAAACTGGGGACTTTTTAGAAAACAGCGGATAACAACAGAGGTTGTTTGATGGATGAATGAGCAAGTTATGAGTGAAACAGAACTAAATTGTTTGAGAAACGGGGAAAATTAGGTGTTTTGTTGATGAAGGGGAAAGTTACTAGTAGAATGGAGCTAATGATGGAAAACAGGGGATTTCTGGAACGCAGGGGAGAGCAGAGGCGGTTTGGTTGATGAATGAGCAAGTTACAAGTAGAATGGATTTGGAAAAGCAGGGGATTTCTGGAAAAGCAGGGGAAAACAGAGGTAGTCTGGTTGATGAATGAAAAAGGGCGCTCAAGTTTGGAAATCAGGAGGAAACAGAGGTGATTTGGTTGATGAATGAGCTACGAGTTGAAAGGAGCTCAAGTTTGGAAGCTGATGATTTCGATAAAGCAGGGGAAAACAGAGGTGGTCTGGTTGATGAATGAACCAGTTAGTAGAATGGAGCTCAAGTTTGGATTCCCATTCTCTTCCTTACAGAGAGATATCTGAAACCTTTTCCGTTTATGGGGGCTAAGATTCATTAGGAGAAACTGAGCGCTTATTGCCCAAAATAAGGAGAAGTTATTGCATTCCAGCGCGCTACTGGATGCTAAAATAAGGGGGTGAAGCTTCTTTAGAGAGAAAAGAACCCCTCTGTTTCATTGATGTTTTCCCAGTAGCTATATTTGCCACCATTTTCCAGCCATCTGTCATCTCGAAAATACCTATGCATCAGTTATCATCGAAATGAATGAATTACCTCATTCGCAACCCTGATCCGAAAAAAGCCAATGCACCACTATCTGTGTTCTTTTATGGCAACCGAGAGTGAGAGCTACAACAGTTCCATTAAAAAAGATGGAGATATCGCTGTAGGAATCTTTTGAAAACTGATGTCATATCCACAAAATTTCCTGCTAACCTTTCACCACTTTGGCTGAGTTTAGATTTGCCTATATCTAGCACCTTCTTGCTTACCAGTTTTTCATCAGCAGGATTATATATGGGATCACCAGTTCACCACGAGCTTGAATCGGTCTTGATCACGACATGCACAGACAGAAATTCAGAAGAAGGAGGCTGATGATAAGCAATGCTGTCTTCACCAATAAACTCTGAAGTTTGTAATTAGCAAACCCATCTGAGGGACTTAATTGTTTGTGAAACAGTATGTATACCAGCTAGCTTACTGATCATTTACAACCTGTTCAAGTGAACAAAAAGGATCCGTGAAGGTCAAGCAAACAAAGGATAACCCATCAGGAACAAAAGGCCAAAGCGGCAGGACTTTCAGACTCTTGGACTGCGCTTTTGAACTTCTCACTAACATGTGTTTTTTTAACAGGATGTTGTCCCTTGTTTCTCTTGTTTTTTTTTTACTTCACAAAAATAAACTATCTTTTTGAACCTGTGGATAGTCTGAAAGATGACCAAGCACCAGAAATCCAAAACTAGCTGAAGTCAAAGTTCTCAAATGACCTAAAAACTACTTGCTATTTCAGCAACCTGATCGGAAAAAAAGCCAGTGCACGCTGTGTTCTTTTGTGGCAACTGAGAGTGAGAGGAGATGGAGAGCTACAACAATTTAGAAAGAAGCTATAGTACAGTAGGAATCTTTTTGAAACAATTACCAAAATCAATGCCATTCACAAACGAGGTGAAGCTTCTTAAGACTCAGGTTTCAACCCTTATCTGTCTTAAGCTTTTTGGGATTAGTTGTTCTCTGTTTCTTTAGTAAGCTCTTTGGGATTTCCTGTTATTGGTCGATTATGGAGGGAAAGAGAAACCAATGGTTAGGTTAGACTATATCACCCACCCATCCAATGAGATACGTGTTAATTATGTGGGCTTTTAGTGTCAATGGGCTGTACCGTGTATAGCAAGGAATAGAGGCTGGCCGTGTATAGGGAGGATTGGTGACTTGTGTTGGTTATAAATGTTGTACTCATGTATCGTTGTAAAGGTAAGAAAAACCTAATATTAAAACTTGAGACGGCTAAAGCGAAGGAAAAGGAGGACTAGGCAGCAGCTAATGCTCAGGTTATCTCTTGACTTTTGGTATATGTTGATCCTCTTACGGCTCTTACTCTTCGTCGCTTCTCTACGGCTGCTCAGATGTGGACTCATATTCGCACTACCCATTACCAACACAATGCCTCTCGACAGTATCAGCTCGAGACTGAGCCCAACAATCTTACACAAGGGGATAGGGATGTGCGGACTCATTATCATACTTGTCTCAATCTTTGGACCGAACATGACATATTGACTTCCTCATTGCTCCCTGGTGCGACTTTTGCTACTGTTTTACAAGAACGCACACGTACTCGTCTTATGCAATTTCTTATGTTTTGGCATCCTGAATTTGAATCTATCCGGGCTCCTCTTTCACCGCAATGTTACTGATATTGCTACGACTATTGTTGAATTGGTTTGTGATGAGACACGTCTCAAGTGTCAAGCTCTCTTATGATTCGGCCTTTACTGTTGGTCGTTCTTCTTCGTCCGGTCGTCCTCGGTTCCAGCGTGCTGATTATAGTACTCTTACCTGTCACTTTTGCAAGGAGGTTGGCCATATTCAACCTCATTGCAAGAAACGCAATATCTGCTACTACTGCAAGCTCACTGGTCACATTTTATTTGATTGCCCTACTCTGGCCAAGCGTGGTCGTTCGGCTCTTTGTCCTCCATCTGGTATGTCGTCTTGTTCAGGAGGTACTTCAAGAGGCTCTTTCCGGTGTTCTTACTTCTGCCTTTACTACTGGCACGACGACAAGGAAGTTTCCACGTTGGTTATTAGATTCGACTGCTTTTAATCATATGTCGTCCTCTCGTCCACATTTCACTACCTAGTAATCTACTTCGAAAATGTATCTTCAAGTGGCCAACGGGGCTTAACTTCCTATTCGCGGGACTGGCACTGCTTCTACAGGGGCTGTTCGGCTTTCTGACACTTATTATGTGCCTAATCATGTCCCAAATCTGGTATCGGTTGGTCAATTGGCAGTAGGCGAATGTGAGGTGTGTTCTAATACGGATGGTTGTATTGTGCAGGACCGAACCACAAGGAGGGTGATCGGGAAAGGACATAAGCTTGGGCGGGTGTTTGTCTTGGACGAGTATGCGCCATAAGAGAGAGGTGGCCTTGTTGAGGAGGTGACAGACGCAGATGGGAGTAGTGATAGTGTTTTGGTTCCTGATTCTTGTTCTGTTGGTTTTGCGACTAGATCGTTGGATTTTTTTTTGTTAAGACATCTGTTTTGAATTTGTGGCATTGTCGGTTACATTACCCTCATTCGGCTCAATTATTATATATGTTTCGGAATAATTTATTACCTGCCATGCTTGACTCAATTCCCGATCCCTTTCCTCCGTGTGTGGGTTGCATAGAAGCCAAAGCTACTTAGTCATCTTTTCAGTCTAGTGGCACGGTTTATACAGAGCCCTTTGCACTAGTTCACACTGATCTCTGGGGACCTTCTCTAGTGACTTCGCTGTTGGGCTATAGATATTATGCTTTATTCATTGATCATGCAACTCGTTTCACTTGGGTGTTCTTTTTGCACCGAAAATCAGAATTAATCACTTTAATTTGCTACCGATTTTGTGAGTATGGTTCAAACCCAGTTTAATACGACAGTGAAAGTCATTCGGTCTGACCAGGGTGGAGAGTTTAGCTCGACTCCATTAATGGAATTCTATCGATCACAAAGAATGATACCTCAACAATCTTGTCCTGGTGTTTCTCAACAAAACGGAGTATTGGAGAGAAAAAATGGACATGTACTAGAACTAACTCGCGCCCTATTGTTTCATTGTCAGTGCCGAGTTCTTTTTGGGCCGAAGCAGTACATACTGTCGTCCACTTGATTAATCATCAAACCACACTAGTGTTGGTACAATTGTCACCTTATGAGGCTTTCTATAAGAAGCCACTTGATTATACCAGTCTCCGTGTTTTTGGGTGTGTGTGTTTCGTTCTTCTTACTAAGAAGGAGCGCACAAAATTACACCCGAAAAGAGTCAGGTGTGTATTTATTGGCTATAGTGATCGGCATAAAGGATATTTGTGTTATGATCTGTCTGCACATCGTATGCGTATATCTTGCCATGTTATGTTTCTTGAACAGGTAAAATATTATGCATCCACGTCGGATGATTCGTCTCAGTCGTTAGATTTTTCCTTAAAATTATTAAATAGACACCAATTAATTAGGTTTAACCTTTCATCTAAACCTATATATAAGTTGGAGCTTTATGAGTATTACACTGTGTAACTACACAACCATAAGATTCTATAGAACATTAAGATCACTTGTGATTTTCATCAATCGGACTTCATAATTAAAAGAATAATAAATTGCAAAGGTTTACAAGATTTTCACCATTTAAAATTTGCTATTTTCCTCTTAATTTTCATCATGGGTATATCAGTCTATATAATAACGTAAAAATACCACCCAAATATGTCGAAGAAATAATTTATTCAATTGCTGTCTATTATCCTTCTTCCAGGGTTTCGTCTATAATTTATGTATGGGCTCCACATAAAAAACCATGTATTGGACTGCTTGCCAGAGTTGGGTTTTGTCAACTAAAAATAATTCAAACACCGACTCCGATTCCGTCTTAGCTCTGGGAGCGGATCAGGTTAGTAACGACAATGGATCAGGTCAATAACCTTATGGTGAGTAACCATGAGTAACTCGTCCACATCAACATGATATCAGCATTCTTCTTTTTCCTGGAAAGCCTTTAATTTTTCCCTCCTTAATATTTGACAGACGATTTCTCATTCGTTTTAAGTCGAAGTTTATTTATTTTTACACAGTTAGATCAAGTTAATTGTGTTCTTCAAAATGATATCCACTTTGATATATTTTTCGAACAAAAAATTTGAGTCATCTTTTACCAGTCTATACCATATGGTATTGACTGATATTGAAATAAGAGCATACCTATGGGTTGAAAAGCGTAGCATGGTGGTATGAACAAACCAAGACTATAAGATGGTTGAATACATGATAGTAGAAGTATATTACCTGTCATTTACGACTTTTAACATTGTGTACCACAAGATACCACCTCATACCAGGGTGGTATTGTGTGGTATTTTTTGGTCATGTAATTTGTTCACCTAGAAATTTGTAGATCCAATAAATCATGATAAACTCGTCCCTTATGTGCAAACGATTTCAAAAATAAATTAAAAACGAAGAAAATACCATATTGGTATGCAGTTGGTACTGAGAGGCCATAATTTGTTTTTCTAAAAAAATATTGAAAATTGATCTCATTTTGTAAAACACGATGAACTCGTTCCATCTGTGCAAAAAAAATTAAAATCCGAGTTAAAACGAAAAAGATATGAGCCAATTAAGAAAGCTATGGAAAATAAAAATGGTCTTTAATTCTCCATCCTTAGATCTGGATTTTATAAATGAAGGGTCCAAATTTGGTTATTGATGGGTGCATAACCATGGTTATGCACCCTGTCTTGAGCCTAAATAAGTTGGGGCTCGACGAAGCAATCATGATGGGCCCCGTATAGAGAATTCAACGCAAAGCTTTCCTCGGCTTGAGATTTTGGCGACTGGAGTGGGGAACGGATCAGGTCAGTAACCTTATTGTGAGTAACCATGAGTAACCCGTCCATATCAGCATGACATCAACATCCCTCTTTCTCATGGAAAACCTTCAATTTTCCCTTCCTTAATCTTTGACGAACGATTTCGCTTTCATTTTAAGTCGATTTTTTTTTTGCACAGTTAGATCAGATTAATTGTGCTCTTCAAAATGATATCCACTTTGATATATTTTTCGAACAAAAAAAATTGAGGCAGTTTTTACCAGTCTATACCATATGGTATTGACTGGCATTGAAATAAGAACATACCTATGGTTTGAAAAGCGTACCATGGTGGCATGAACAAACCAAGACTGTAGAATGGTTGAATACATGATAATAGAAGTATATTAACTGTCATTTACGACTTTTAATATTGTGTACCACAAGATACCACCCCATATCAGGATGGTATTGTATGGTATTGTGTGAATATTTTTTGGTGCTGCAATTTGTTCACCCAGAAATTTGTAGATCCAATAGATCATGATGAATTTGTCTCTTCTGTGCAAACTTTTTCAAAAACGAATTAAAAACGAAGAAGATACTATATGGTATGCAGTTGGTACCGAGAGGCCAAATTTTTTTTCCTCAAAAAATATTGAAAATTGATCTCATTTTGTAGAGCACGATGAACTCGTTCCATCTGTGCAAAAAAAATTAAAATCCGAGTTAAAACGAAAAAGATATGAGCCAATTAATAAAGTTAGGAAAAATAAAAATGGTTTTTAATTCCCCATCCTTAATGAAGGGTCCAGATTTGGTTATTGATGGGTGCATAACCCATGGTTATGCACCCTATCTTGAGCCGTCAGTAACTCTCATTGTGAGTGGGTTATGCACCCTATCTTGAGCCGTCAGTAACTCTCATTGTGAGTAATCTCATTGTGAGTAACCATCAGTAACCTGTCCACATTCGCATGACATCAGCATCCCCTCTCTTCTGGAAAGTTTTTTTTTATCTTTTCCCCATTAATTTTTAACGGACGATTTCTCTCTCGTTTTAAGTCGAAATCAAATTTTTTTTTTTGCACAGATAAATCAGATTAAATGTGCTCTTTAAAATGATATCCACTTTGATATATTTTTAGTACAAAAAAAATTTAATAATTTTTTACCAGTCATTACCATATGGTATACTCATATTTAATACCATATAATAAGAAAACGTACCATGATGGTATGAACATACCAATATGGTAAGAATGTTGAATACATGATAGTAGGAGTATACTAACTGTCATTTACGACTTTCATCATTGTTTACCTTAAGTTACCACCCACATACCATAGTGGTAAAGTATGGTAATTTTTGGTCCGGTATTTTTTTCACCCAGAAATTTGTAGATCCAATAGATCATGATGAACTCGTTTCTTCTAAGCAAACGTCTTCAAAAACGACTTAAAAAATGAAGAAGTTACCATATGGTATGTAGTTGGTAAAAAAAAATTTCTCGAAATATATTAAAACTTGATCTCATTTTGTAGAGCACAACGAACTCGTTCCATGTATGCAAAAAAAAAAATTTGAAATCCGAGTTAAAACGAAGAAGATATGAGCCGATTATGAAAACTAGGGAAAATAAAATGTCTTTAATTGACAACCCTTAGATCTGGATTTTCTGGGCCCACTTAAATCTAAAGGTCCATATTTAGTTACTTATAGGTTAGTAACCAATGGTTACTCACCCTATCCTATGCCCTTAGCTCTATGTTTTTAGGCCAATTATGTATTTTACATTTGTGTCCATTTTTAGCTTGATAACCTCTTTTTCATTTTAAAATTCTCTTTTTATCAGTTTCTCGCATGTCTTGATCTCTCTTTTTTATCAGTTCTAGTTTCCGCTTCTTAATTAAGTTTCCACAGGGCCAAGTTGATAGTGATCATAAATGCTAATTGATACTATTTCGAATATTATGGAGTTGGTAGTTTAACTAATCAAGTTCCATGGTTTATCATACCTCACTGGAATATACTTTTATTGTAAATTCAAGTAGATGATGTAATGATTGTTACAAGAATCAAACCAGAGTAACAGATGATTATATTGGTAGCATTGTCTAATCAGTTACAGTAGCGACTTGGTTTTTTCGTTTGGATGACTAGAGTTGGAACTAACGATTCTACCAAAATGAACGCGAAACCAGTTGAACTACTATTATTACTGGTCTACCTATTCACTATTATTACCACAAAAAACTTTGACGTAACATAAGACCATCAACATGAATTACTAATTTTGTTTATACTTTCTCTTCTTCGCTTCCCTGCCTCTTTGTTAGCTTTAGTGGTCCACTACCGACTTTCACCATAATTAATAACTTTTATTTAATAAAAATTTAATTAAAATATTTTACCCAAATAAATGTAAATATTCCGGCCAACCGGGCCCAACCTAGTTGTAAATAAAGATGAGTTTTCTCTTAGAATGCGACTATACCCACTTGAGTTTCATTATCATCAAAAAGTGGTCCTAGGTAGAAAATAGGAAAGAGTACATGTACAGTCGTATTATATACAGTTTTATAGGAAAAGAAAATTCATAATTGTCATGTAGACCTGGTAATCGAGTCGGGTTGGGTTATTTTGGGTTGAGAACTTCGGTTATGGGTCGGGCCATGTTTGCTTGGCTGATTTCAGGTCAAATATTGACCCAACCCATTCAGTTTCAGGTCGGGTTACAGGTCATTTCGGGTTATGAGCGTTCTCAGAAACAATATCAAACATTCTTCATATTTTCTTAACGAACACAAATTTTCACATATACATGACAATAGTTTACTTAACACATGTCAATTAACATATTCTCAAATCCTCCCATGCTAATGAAATAAAATACAAATTGCGTAAATCGTCAAAAAACAATCACAAAAGTAATACTGCTACAAGAAACACATGATATTTGATTATCCTTAAACTCCAAAAATGTCATTCAAATCCTTGTGATTTTTTTTAAACATCTCACCAATTTATGAGTGATTTTATCATTTTGGGAGTGATATATAAAATGGAACGGGTCTAACAGGTCGGCCCGCTAACCCACCCAACCCGACCCAAAAAATCACGGGTTATCGGGTTTGGGTCATTCAAATTTCGGGTTACTAAAATTTCTAATTTTTGGGCGGTTTCGAATCGGGTCAACGGGCCGGGTTGTAATTTTTCAGGTCTATTGTCATGTCATGCATACCGCATATATATCGTTGATGATAAATTTTTTTATAGGAGAAACCCTAGAGACCTGTTGACCTGTTCCCATTCAGTGTCGATGCTGAGGGCTGGGTTTGGATAAGTTTTTCTACAGAGTCAGGTTAGGGTCAGTTATCTTTTGATCCTATTAAAGTCGGGTAGGGTAGGATCAACTTAACTGCGGGTCACTTTTTGACCCTATGACCCAACAATAACTAGTGATATAAAATTCGTCATACCAACACATCAGACATGTTTGTAAAGTTATTAAAGTTTAGGTGCTATAATGTGAAGTAAGAAAAATAAAGCTACTCAAATATAAGTTTATCACTAAAATTTATGGACCTATTTGTAAGAAAATAAAGTGTTGGTGCTAAATTAAAAGAAAACAATTTTGAGTACCGAAATATAATTTTCATAAAGTCAGTGTATTGATTTTAGCCGATCATTGATCCAGGCTGTCCCGACATGCTTCGACCCTAGAAGGCCGGACAAGGTAATAAAGAAAACAAGGACGGGACGGATCAATTATATAAATGAACTTTTCAGAGATTAGTTAGGGACAAGTCAGACCAATTTTCAGCCCTAAAAATTGACATTATATACATTAAACGCCATACTTTGGGTTGACAGTGTTGCATTAGGTAACTCAACAAGAATTTCAAACCAACATTGTAATGGAAATGAAAAGCAGGGAACAACAAAGGAAATCAAAGATACATCATCCATATGATATAATTTTCTGATGACTCATTTATAGGGATGGAATTCGAAGTTGTTCAATGCATGACTGAACTTCAATTTCGTAACGGTTATTGGCTTCCAAAGCATCCGAGTAGGTCATTCCATGATAAGCCAGCGGGTGAGTGTCGTCCACGAATTCCAGAGCTGGGGCCACAAGTTTGTCAATAGATGGCCCGTGGAGTGTGCCTATCGAGATCCTCCTCGCCTTGTACTTACCCACCAACACGCGATGGATGTGACTCTTGTACTTGCCATTAGTCAAGACCTATTTGTAATACATATAAGAATTTGGTTATCAATTTTTTTTCCCAAAAAGGACAGTGAATGATATACTTAATAATTCTTGATCATATAAATATATGTACCTCCAATTGGTCGCCAAGTTGAATTAAAATGGCATTGGGAGGGATGTGGACGTTGATCCATTGTCCTTGGTGGGTTAGGATTTGAAGACCGCCATCCATATCTTGGATGAGGGAGATGATGAAACCAGGATCGGTGTGTTCAGCCAGTCCCATGGTGCCCTTCGACTTGAAGTTTGGTGGGTAATGATTCATGGCAGCCACGTCGAAGCCTGACTCCAGATCGAAAGCATCCTCGATGTAGGACTCTTCCTGTCCCAAGACTAAGGACATAGCCCTTGCTAAACCCAGCTTCACCTCATGGAATCTGGTTACGTACTCTCCCAATGCTTCTCTGTACATTGTCAACAAAAACGTGTTCATCTAATGTAGTTAGGAAGATATTGTAAATAAAGATTGGTTTCTCTGAAAGCTATACCCACTTGGGTTTCATTGTCATCAAATGTGGTCCTGGCCGGGTAGAAAAAACAAAAAAGTAAGAGTACAGTTTTATTACATACTGTTTTATAGTAAAAAAACCATAATTGTCATATCATGGATACGGCATATATCATTGATGACAATGAAACCCAATAAGTGGGTATATAAAAAGAAAGATCTTTCCTTTTATATATTTGAAATAGATTTTGTTTGGATCATGAGTATCTATCTTGGAGATCTTTCATAAGCAGTTAAACAACAACAAACAAACAAAAAATACTAGGAAGATTCAAATTCATTGCTCCGCCACCTTAAATTTGAGAAATATAGTAGAAAAATCATTTAAAATTACATGTAAACTTAGTAATAAATTTCAGAAATATAGTAGTTGGTAAGACATTAGCCTCACCTCACTAGTTTGAATTCTCTCTGCATAAATTTTTAGTCCCCATATTTAGATTTCTGGCTTCGCTATTGGGTATGTACCTGAAGGATGGAGGATTAGGAGGGCAGTGGAAAGTTGGACGAGCGAGGAGTTTGAGATGTTCCCTGTTCTCGCCGGCGTGACACCTGGCATCCCAAAGAATCCGAGCCCTCGGATCACCTTTCCTGTACTTGCTCTTCTCCTCCACCGGCGTTTGCTCGAAGAAATCGGCGATCCCCCTCAAAGCACCATCTATCACTTCATCAGGAATCCCATGGTTCACAAGCTGCATGCATGAATAGTAAATACATATAACTACGTCTACGCTCATTCTATTTCACCTCACTAATTAACTCAAATAATTGGCATACGTACGTTGAAGAAGCCATAGTGCTCACAAGCTGCGGAGAGGCAGTCGAGGGCCGCGGAACGGTGGGCAGGTTCGTCAGGTGAGAAGAGCGAGAAATAGTCGATCGTCGGGATTTCTTCGTCGTCGACGACTGCTATTGGTGCTTCGTGGGACGAACCAATGGGAGTATCAGTAATAGAGGACAGGCGGCGGCTGAAAGTAGGAGCCGCCAAATCGCTTGGTATGACAAGTGATTGAAGTGTTTGAGACATTTTTGCTTTTCCCCCTCAGAGATAATGGAGCTGGTTGTGTCTGTATTGTTGTGCATGGCATTGATGATAGTTGTATTTATAGCATTTGTTGGTGTCAGACACAAATATATAATATATACACTACTATACTACTAAGTGATATGTCATGTCAGCGTGTATTCATACAGTAAGACGGCATGTTTTTCAACTTTTTGTCTGATATAATGCACCCCCACGTGTTTAAACTCGCAATCTAAAATTAATAAATTGATTTCAAATGATTTGAGGGATACTATTGAAATTAAAGGTTTTATCTTATGATGCTGACATCCAATTTGTTAGTACGGTGTTGACACTAATTCTAGTCAGTGAAAATTGTTGGGTATGAGCAAGGCCCGACCCAATTAAGAGAGGTTTGAGAGGTACAGTTCAAACAAAAAGGCCTGAGCAAGACGGACCAAGAAAGAAGTTGGAGGAATAAAAGCCCACGTAGGGTAAACCCGGCCTAGGGACGCACAGGGTGGTCCAAATGAGTGGGATCGGATTTCTGACAGGAAGCACATAAGGACAAGGGACAGCCAATGGGCAGTGAGTAGTGATGTACGAAAAGGCATACGAGTGAGGTCATATGCCTCGAACCTCTGAGAAGCGTGTCAGATGGTCGAGGCGCATGACGAAAAGCAAGTACGGTACATTAATGACCATGCTGACGTGGGGCATAATTGGGGGCAGTGGTCGACGAGGCTCCAAGTATAAATATGAGAGTAGGTGAATTTCATTTACTCAGTTCGGATTCTCTCACTAAGCTCTTTTTCACTTCTCTCTCTAAAAGGTGGGTGTTGACTTGGGCGTTGGAGTGCTAACGGACCAACGAGGTCCGCTAGGCGCTGTGTGTGCAGGTACGCAGCGCCTTTGAGGAGCTCCGATGGGAGGAGGAGCCGCACAGAAGCAAGGGGAGGTAATTAGGCTCAAACAGAAACGCTTCATTTTGTTATATTTAAGGGTTTTTTATCACAATTAATGCTAATTTTTAAAGAGAGGGGCACACTTTCTTTTTTAACATTATAGAGGGGGAAGACGCGTGTGATGCTCCTCATTTATTTTGTGGCTCGTCCTTGACTTGTAACGAACACAAGTATCATAAAACAGACAAGAAATACGAACTAGAAACACTACAAAAACGTAAAGTACATAAGAAAGCTCATAATAAAGCATACCGACAGCTCACCACACCATAAAAATCATAAAACATACAAGAAAACTTAAAACTGACCACAAGTTTCTCAAAGTATACCAGAAAACTCATCAATTTGACCACAACTCTCATGAAGGAGACTAAAAACTCAGGCTACACCAAAATTATGACAGAGCACACCACAAAACTCATAAAATATATCAGAAACCTCATAAAGTATATGAAAAAATGTAGGAAGCACACCACATAGCTTACCACAAGTTTCCTAAAGTAAATCATAAATATCATAAGCTTAACACAAGTTCCCCGAAGTCGAAAGCAAATCACAAAACTTACCACAAATTTTCTAAAGCAAACTAGAAATCTCATAAAGTTGACCGCAAGTTTCCTGGAGCAAGCCATAAACCTCATAAAGTTAACCACAAGTTGTCTAAAGCATATCATAAAACTAATAAAGTTGACAACAAAATCCGTGAAGCAGACCAGAAACCTCATAGAACTGACAACAAGTTCTGTGAAGCAGACCAGATATCTCATAGAGCTGACCACAAATTCCCTCAAGCAGAAAAAAAGTGTGCAATCACACCAAAACTCTAATCAAGTCGTTCAAAAAGACGAGAAATCACACCAAAAACTGCACAAAACGTTATAAAGGATGACAATGTAATAATTTTTTTACAAGTAACTCGTTGTTTTTTTGTGATGTGTTGAACTTTTTTATAAATAATGGTGAAGTGAGGATGACAAGGGTAAACTTTTTTTTATAAAGGTGATATAAATTTAGATAGAAAATATAAGATAAACACAGAAAAATGGAGGTGAGGGTGGAGGGCGGAAGATAGAGAACAACAAGAGAAGAACGAGATGAAAAAGGAAGTTACTATGAACTTAGGTCGCACAATTCGCCGATCAAGGACCGGTGTCCCGCTTTAGAGCACAAAAGCGCGAATTTGAGGGAATTCATACAAAATTCACGAATTTAAATTTATTGGAGCGCGATTTTTCGAAGAAAATTCATGAATTTGTCAAAAACATGAAAAAAATGTGTGGATTGTGATGACAACTAGGGCTGAAAATTTGTATGTCCCGTCCCTGATCCTGTCTGACCCGTCCCTGAAGGGTCAAGATGTATAACTGACCTATCCCGTCCCTGTCTCCTTCTTGACCCTGTCTGACCCTCAAGGGTTGGGACGGGATGGGTCGGGTCAGTGGGTCGACCCTAATCAACACACTACTTTTTACAAATTATGTTTTGGTACCCAAAATTATTTTTTCTTACAATTTAGTACCTAAAATTTATTTTTTTACAAATAAGTCCATAAATTTTGATGGTAAAATTACATTTTGGTACCCAAATTTTTTTTATTTTTACAAGTTAGTACCTAAACTTTTAAAACTTGACAAAAGGTCCAATGTGGTGTGAGATATTTGTTGTTGCTAAGGGTCACAGTGTCAAAACGTGGCCCGTCCCTAAGTTGTCCCTACCCATCCCGACCCTTACAGGGTCAACAAATGACTCGTCCCTAATATGTCCCTGTAGTCTGTAGACAAACTGACCCGTCCATACCCTTAGGGACGGAACAGGTCGCGACGGGTCAGTGGGTGTTCCGGGTCAAGCTTTCACCCCTAACGACAACCGATCTGATGAAGGAGATGGGACTGTTGGCTAGTTGATGAAAGAAGACGATGTCTCTGCATTTGAAAGAGAATATACTTATTGGGGAGATTCTGAACTTTATGAGGATGGCTTCTTGTCCGCGCACGATACTATTGTTCTGGATCAATGATTTCAAACTCTGCATGTGGGGAGTTGGTGGAACTCGCCTGGAATTTGAAGATAGGAAGGTTGTAGGGAGAAGTGGGCGATTTGCCTATCGGAAGAGGGTGTTGATCGGCATGATGTAAGGTGTGGTGAATGATTTCAGAAAGGGATCGATAGAGAAGGATTTTGTTGACATGGGGAAGAAGGAGCAGGGGAGCGTGCGACAGCTTGTGAGTAGGTTGGAGACTTGGAGCATCGCGTTTAGTGTTTTGAATGAGCCAATTTCGAGCTAAATAGGTACACTTGGTTGGGACTATGGCAAGCTCATCTACCTCACCACCGTCTTCAGTTAGGGAAATATAGAATTTTTTGTTCTTAGTTTATCATTTGGTTTCACCTTTTACTTTTAGGAAATTAAATATGTTGACCATCTGTAGATATGTAGCCATGTAACTTTTAGATTATAGTGTCATCGTTTAATGTGGGACTATTTTGTCAAAATTTGGTATTATTTTAAATAATATTATAATTAAATAATATAATATTAACGCTATTTTGACGCTCTGAGCTTATAATTCTTTATGAATAGACGCTTTGTATGAACCGTGGTTATTATGATATTTTTATTAACTATAGTTATTATAAGATTTTTATTAATTATTGTTAGCACACTATTCGATGCAGGCATGTCTATGTCTATAAAGTGTAAACCTTCGTTGCCTGATCATAGCGCATTTTATACGTTACATTCACCGCTGATTTGTAATGATTTCTCCTTGTGGCTCAACAATCAAATGATTTATTTAAGCAGGCCAGTTCAACTAGCCTTTAGTTTCACAAAAAGAAAAAACAAACAAAAAGAAATGGGTATTGGAAAATGGAAAACCAAATCCGAGGACCACAACTGATTACGCTGATTACAAATATGTTTTGGAAAGCGGCGATTGAAAATGTATAACTATAAGCGCCATTGGTTTGTTATACGCAAGTGGATCGCAACTATTTAATCGTGGGTCACGTGTGTCCAGAGTGCATTCAGGTCGAGAAGATTCGGATATGGTTTGTTTGTCGAATTTGGGTTATAGATTTGACACACAAATCCCAAATATTATAGAATTGACACAAAGATATTGTTTGTTGAATGGCACAAATTCGTGGTGTCCACGGATTTGGACCATTTTTTTTATATTTAAATCCATGGATCCCACAAATATGCAAATCTCACATTTCATTTGGAATTTGATAAATGGAAGGCACGCACGTGAGATAAATCCATAATAAAAGATCAACTAAACAAACAATGTACTCTTTCAAATCTATAATGCAGCAAATTCATCGTAAATCCAAAGATTTCTAAAACTCCAAACCCTCATTTTCAAATCCAACAAGCAAACAAGCCCTCAATGTTCCACCCCAAAGACATGCTTTTATATTTGAGTATGCATGGCAATCGAATCCATAAATATAGGTATTATACCGTCTTTGACTCAATCAATGGGGAAATTCCTATATTGACTATATGAGCCAGGTTTGGGTAAAACTCACAAAAAATTAATAGGATTGATGCGAGTTTGGTTTTGACTTCTCTGTCTTATACTCATACGCATGTTCGCCCCACTAAAAGTATTGCTTCATACATTAAGAATATAGAGATCATATTCACATTGTAACCTCTCAAATCTGAATAACAAAAAGAGTAATTCAAAATATAATGAGAGTTAAAAATTAATTTTGCTACCCAAACCAAACACTAATTTCTTTCATTCAATTCGTCTTTCACTTGTTTCCCTTATGTTATAAAGATTATGTTAGTTATTTATTGCTTAGTAGAAGCGTTGGAGTTAGAGTTGCTTATGGATTAAATGCTTCAAATGGTCTTGAGAATGGTTGTATTTTTGTTGATTTCATGGTTTATTAGGTTCGCTTAGTATTAGATTTGAAGATCTAGAAATCGAATTGAAAGTATATAGTAATATTTGATATAAGGAATGGGTAGTACCCACAAATACCTAGAAAACCGTGGGTATAAAATGAGGTTGTGCAACCTTCTCACATGTGTATGAT